AGGAGAGGAGAGAGAGAGCGAGCAATTTGACGCAACGGCGCGACAGCTTTCGGAGAAAACAAATTCCAAGGCGATGGACGGGACAATCGTGTGAAAAATTGACAAACTGCGCGCGACTGTTCGCTTCGTTCCACCATTTTTCAGCTCCCAGTCGACAACTAGCGTTTTATTTTTGACAGTTTCGTTATTCGATATTGATCAAGCGGTGCAAAGCGATAGTGCGGTCACGGCGGCCAGTACGACGGGATTAATTATTTAGAGACAATCGGTTTCGCGGCGATTTATATTTCCCATGGGTCAAAGGGCGTGCAATATGCATGCAGTCACATGTATAAATGTAGCCCTCCAAAAACCGATAGAGATAGCAATATTTCTCCATATACAACTAGCTGGTACAGATTTAGTAAAAATTTATGAATTTCGCGCCGCGGACCAGATTTATCAAACTTAATAAGATGCATTGTCTTTTCGAGGAAGCATTTTCAGATCCGTATATAGTTATGCGGATCTCTTTCATTTTTGTTTCGTGTATATAAAACGCACTACGCTTAAATTCTCAACATTTCATAGAGTCGGATTTCGTCGGTAAAAATAATACTTTGATTTTTTTTTTTTTTTTTTTTTTTTTTTTTTTTTTAACAATCTCGCAACAGTGGAATCATGTTTCATCAAAACGCCGCAGCGCTCGAAATTTCTATTACACGCGGAAACAGACAGAGCCATAGAGGGGAGAGAGAGAGAGAGAGAGAAATGGACAAGAGTCGCACGAGTCCGCGTAACTGAATGCTCACGTTCGATATCGTAATATCGATAGCGTAATAAATACTACCGGGTTAAATTGAGAAAATTATATTCCTCTTGCCGCGCGCGACGGCGACGGGGTGAGCGCTTTCATATTATCGAAGCTGAAAAGGCGTCTAAAGTGTTTGTGTACCCTGAAGATCCCGGGAGCGGTGACAGTGGCGTACAGCACCCCTGTCGGGGTATTCCCTCGGTTAAAGTGGCTATGCGCACGCTGAAGAAGATACCCCGGGATAGTACCGAAGCCGGAGCGCGGGAAATGGAAGGTGAACTAACAAACCTTCCGTTCCCTCGGTAAAAAAAAAAAAAAAAAAAAAAACTTTGAATGTCACGAGATTTCCGGTGCCCCGGAAAAGAGAAGAATTACTTGATCGCAATAAGAAATAATCGTTTCCCATCGTTGTCGTACGCCGTAACGGCATAAGTTAAAAATAGACACTGACACCCTGGAGAATAGTTGCCTCTCTGAGAAAAGTCTGAATAGCGGGACGGCAGTGAGATGTAACAGGGAGGGAGGAAAACTTCGCGGAGAGAGAATTATTTTCTCCGACACGATTCTTAGTGAGAGTAAGCACGCCACCGTCGTTGTTTACCGTTCAAAAACGGGGAAATCCCTCGTGCGCTCTTTGTCGTCGGGAAAGCCTAAGGGGCCCTCGAGAAGGGGGATGTTCCACGACAGGAAATTGAACACCGACCGTTTACGACTGTGTAATAACTGGCTTCGTACCGGACCACTTAAACAGCAATTGTAGGTCATCTCGAGGAGTCACTTGGCACGACACAATACTGCGTTTCTCTCTCTCTCTCTCTCTCTCTCTCTCTCTCTCTCTCTCTTCTCCCACTCTCTTCGTGTAGAACCGAAGCTACTAGTCGAGATTGTTGACAATGAGATAGGAAAATGCCTCTCGAACGAACTCATTGAGAACTAAATACCGACGATTCGCCGATGAAACGGAATGGCCCGATGGCCGGAACGATACGAAATGTGATTAAAAATGTATCGACGTTACATTTAACCTTTAGAGATCCGGGGGAGACGTAGTATAATGTCCCGTTCTCACGCCACCTTTTATTTCCTCATTCGGAATTCTCGTGATCAACAGATTTTTAGTCCGGCTCTCCGGTATAACCGACGTAATTAATTCTCGCAAAAACTCTTACAGCCGTATGGTTGGCGTAATTACGTTATCACCTTAATAAGTCTCATCTGGGAAGGTCCAGGGCAAAAAGTGAATAGGATATTGAATTATTTTAAAGTCGCTTTTATCTCGTTAACACTGTGAGAGGTCAGCGACGTTTGAATGGCCAGACGGAGTAATTAATCTCTAATATTAATTTCGCATTTAAAATAAGATCTCGGATTAGTTTCTTGACCCAAAGTTTAAATTTCATAGCGCTTTATTGCAGAAACTGCAGCAGAAACCGGACGCTTCGAGCAGCTTTAATAAGATCGCGTTCTATGTCGGACTAGAACATTGACGTACATGTACGGTTCTAAAAGGTAGCAAGTCAACTGGGAATGCATCGATCGTCATTTCAAGTACTGCACGAGGTCGTTCTACAAGCCGTTCTTGACGCATCGGCCAATCGCGACGACGATCGAAGCGCGTTTCAAATTTTATAGCTCTAATTTCGCGGAAGGTCTGATTGGCTTGAAATGCTTCTCGTGTTCGATCTTTCGATAGAGAGGTTTCCCGACTTTGATCTTAAGAATTCCTAGAAAGAAAAAAGATAAAAGAGAGATTTGTTATTGGAATAAGTTATCTAATCATCTGCTGCTGTTGACCTTCTGCGCCCTTTACGTCTTTAAATTAATCATTTTTTATTACTAGAAATTTTTATTAACAATAAAAAGTCAACAATTAATTAAAAAAAAAAAATGACGGAATTAACACAATGGTTTATTGCACAGTACGAGTAGTCGGTTATTATTCTGGCTCTCTTTCATAGAATGACGTTCGTTCGTCGGGACGGGCTAAAATTATTGTTCGACGTAACTTGGAAATTTTGCTAGACTAGAAATAGTCGTCCCGCTAATGTTGGGATCCACCCAACTTATCAGGTTTCACATAGTTTCAAAGAAAGTTCATAACGCATACATTTTTACGATTCTTCGTAGTGCATACACTTTTGTGGAAGTTCCGCTCGAATTTAAAGAACGCGCGCAACCACGCGGATGTTTATCAAGTGGGAAGTTTGTCTTGCTATAATAAAAGTCGACCGATAAAAAAAAAAAAAAAAAGAGGAGACCGAAGGTCTGGAGGGAAACTTGTGGGCGTCCTCCTTCCCAAAGTCGGACGGTCGTGTTAGAATAAGGAGGTATCTCCTGCAAATTTAATGGCGGATCGCGTTTGCATACGTCGCCTTTCTACACCCTTTCCGTTTATATCTCTTCCTCGTCCACTTTTCGCCGTTCCATACCTTTTCTCTTCTGGCGCCGTCCCTCACATAATCTCCATAAAAAAGTTTGCGATACGATCCTGTCATTCACGTCATCCTCAGTTAATAACAGTGGCGAGATCACTCGCTCTCATGCCCGAACATAAACCATCCTGCGGGCATCGTGTTGGCAGATCAGTTTCACACATTCCCGAAATACTGCCACTGGATTTTCCTCCTTCCTCACTTGACACTATCTCTCTGTCCTCTCCTCCCCCCCTCTCTCTCTCTCTCACACACACACACACACATACACGTACACACGCAAACAGGTACAGAGTTTGCATCAACCTCAAATCCATGTTCATTATGGATAGATTCCTAAGCCATTAACATCCCTATAATCTTGCCGTTCTGAGCAACGCCATCAATCCTCTTTGCTCTAAGCCGCTCCTTTTCGTCTCAATTTTCCTGATCATTCCCTCACCGTTCAATAATCCTGTAAAATGATAATACGACGATGTCGCTGGATTTGATGAAATAATAGTGTATCAGCGTTGTATCAATTAACTCATATACGGTCTCATGTCAGAAAGTCACATCAGTAGGACAGTCACGAGATACGTATTTTTTTCATTTTGCGCGCACAGAATTTTTCCCGGGCGACAATTTCTTTTCATCAGACTGACAACGAGAAGAAGGGGGGAGAGGGAAAGAGAGAGACAGAGAGAGAGAGAGAGAGGGGGGGGGAGGAAATGGTTTTTGCCTCTGGGGCTCAGATAAATAGACTTATTTGATTTCGTCTGTGATCAGAGATGTTTTCTCATGCATTTCCCAGGGAACGGACTACGGAAGAAGAAGGCGAAAAAGTTCACGTGGCGTACAAACATCCGGGACGTCGGGGAAGCGTGGGACGTCGGCGATCTGCAATTGCTAAATTTCCGCTAGCCTCGAGGATATGTTATTTCTGAAGGCACATGTTCGAGCCGCGCGTATCAAATGCGCCCGCAATGGCGGCGGAAAGTGGGCCAGGTCGGCTGTCGGAGCCGGTAAGTTAACGACGACAATGTAAAGCGGTTTCATCCCTTTGCCCGGCTCGATAGCGCCTCGCGGCTGCGGGATTAAACTTTAGATAGAATCTCTCGAACTTTATTTATCTACTTTGATAATGCGCGAGAGACGAAGCGATGCTTTATATATATATATATACCGACAATGACACTAAACCAGATAAAGCTTTAATTTTGGATACGATAAAGCGTGAACGACGATACGTACCGTAATATTATAGGTACCTAAAAAAAAATAAATGAAGAGACTCCACTTTTTTTGAAGTTATCTTGAAAGAATCATTTTTTTTTTTCTTTTTTCGGAGAGGTATTCATGAGAGGTGCCATTTGTTCGCGTAAACACGTCACGAGTGCAGGGGGAAACGCGTCGCGAGAATTAAGGTCAGTGGTTTTGATATCCCGCGTGCTCGGGGGACAAGATCTCTCTTGTGCTCCGATTCCTTCATTAATCCTCATTATTCTTCGTTAACCTTGCTCTTGTTCCTCATTAATCTCCGTTAATCCCCGGCGGAGCTATCGCCAACGCCAGTCGTCGGGAACAGGCAATGGAATTGATAATATTCTTGATTTACTTCGCACCCCCTTACACTCTAGCTGGTGTTCTAATCTGGCAAAACAAATAACTAGTTGACTCTCAAGTTTGTTCGTAGATGTAACTGGGAGTGAGTTGCGGAAGGGATGAGACACGAGCGACGTTAAGGTGCGATCGTCTGGAATGAAGGATTAAGATAAAGACCCACGCGCGTTCCTGATGAGCGCGCGACGTTTATGACGAGATCCCGTCGGTTGCAGAGAAAGAGAGAGAGAGAGAGAGAGAGAGACCGGCGAGCTCGGAAATTCGAAACTCGGAATTCGCGAGATAGAGATAATCGGGTACGTGCCCTTCGCGAAATATCGGCAGCTCTCTTTGCTGTCGTTCTCATATCGGATGTCGAGCGCACAAAGCCCCGCGGCTTTCCGCGACGAACCACCATCTGTCCATTTAACCGGACTCCGTTGAATTTGCGGAAACGCAAGCGTCAATCGACTCTCTCTCTCGTCGCTGTTGCTGTAACGAAAAGGCGGAGTCGCAATATACGACCGGACACTTGACGATATCTCCGATCGAGCCGATTCTCCGCGTGCGCAGCACGTAATAGCGTTCAATGCGTAATTATCACGGATTACTCTCGTGAGTGGAGTCACGATCCGGGGTCCCGGTGGTGGTTGTGCGCGACGCGGAAATCAGGAATTGTCAGGAATGCGACGCGCGTTGCCTCGAGAACGGGAGCGATCGTTGTAACAAATCGATCGCGGATTCGCTCGCCCGGGTAATTGCGTAAGGGTTAACGTCGTGCGTCGTGAGCACCCAGGTACTTTCCAGGGTCGTTCCTTCCGTCATGCGGGCGGAAGTCGGTGGACGCGCGGCGCCGATCGTCGCGCGGGGCATCTCGTCGGGCTTGTACCCGGTGGTGATCCGGACGAGCACGAGATGAAAGCGCGAGTCACCTCCACATCGCGGGATGCCGTCGGGATTGACTGGGTGAAGGGGCGAGGACGGAACGGGATGAGGACAGCCGGGGAAATGTCCGCCACGGTGATCGGCGGTAGCACGAGACGCCGCTCGCTGATGCTGCTCACTACGATCGTGTACTGCTGCTGGCTGCTGATGATCGGCGAATGCGTCGGCCAGAAGCCGATCAATCTCGGCGGCAGCAAGAAGCGGGACGTCTACATCGCCGGCTTCTTCCCGTACGGCAATCACGTGCCGGAGGGTCACATCGGCCGCGGCGTCATGCCCGCGGTGAAGCTCGCGGTGGAGCACATCAACGAGCACCCGACGATACTCAGGGACTACCGGCTGCATATGTGGTGGAACGACACGGAGGTGAGTCTCGATGATCTCTTTCCCGTCCCTGCGAAATGCAGTAAAATACAATAAAATCCCTAAACGATAGTTAACCAATCCCTGAATGTGGATTTATCACTTTTTCAATAAGAATACTCCTTCTTTTCTGGGGCACGATGTTACGCTCTTTCCTTTTGTCTTTCTTTTCCTTTTTTCCAATTATCCGTTCTTATGTATTGTTGAAGACTGATTCTTTTTCATTATTATTTGATTACGGATCCGCCCAAGTCCTTTGTCGAGTTATGAGCGAGTTATATAGTACGAGGCTCGTTAAAAATTAAGAAATTATTAATTTGCTTATAGCGTGTTCTCGAAATTATTGCTCAAATATATTTCTCTCAATTTTACTTAGATTAAGATTAATAATTCTTGAACGAAATTCCCAATTGTTGAATAAATAACGATATTTAATAGGCAGTAATGTGGGGGATATATATTTGAGGCCACTAGGGACTCTGCAGACTCCCGGCCGCGCACAAAAATAACACGTCCAATCGAAAATTGATCAATTATTCGTAGATTTGGATATTTACATCTTCTTTCGTCAGTCTCCAGATATATTTCTCAGTTTCGATTAAATTGAAGACGATGACTGATCAGAATTCCTGAAGACTTTTTTTCATAAAAATGTCATGACTTTTCTCCTTCATTTCTTTCTGTTTTCCATTGAAATGTACGGAATCTAATTTAATACGTAAGAAAAAAAGTAGTATCATGAAATCTTATTTCATTTTTAATAGCTTGGAAGCTTCCAATTTCGGTAAATGTATTTAATGAAATATCAATTTACAGGAGACTCGATACTCTATAACGTAGCGAAGTGGAGAGATAAATGTAGTGAGTTTTTAAATTTCATCTTGAGAGAAAATCACAGAAAGCACTTTAGAAATAATTTTCTGGTAATATAAATCATCGTATATAAATCTGTAACATTTATTAAAAAATAATAATAAATATATATATGAAGACTGTGTACGAAAGAATTCAAATCTTAAAATGTATAATTATTTACATGTAATATTATATCTGATGCTTTGCTTAGTAGCATAATTACGGTAAAATTGAGTTACACTATCGTGAACCTACTTTAATTCCTTTCCTTGGGTCTATAAAACTTTTTGTACATTTATATAAAAATTGTAAATCAGTAAAAATATACAACTGTCGGATGGTTGGAATTTGTGTACTTTAGAAAGGAATCCCTTAAAAACGAGTAACATAATAAAACTATCGGTTGTAGGATTTTTGTGTATCCGTAAGAAATTTCTCGAAAATACGTAATATAATAAAACCGGCCAAACTAATGTTGCTCTGAGAGACGGGAACATTCTATCGGTATACATAAAATCCATACAACCCATGTATATGGATAACCATGCCGGGCTGAGAACAAAATGTAAGACCCACCGATGGATATGCGGATTTTCATCCGAGAGAAAAACCACCATTAGATATATATACATATATAGCGCTGAACACACATGAGAAACTGATAAGGCATGATAGAAGCAAATTTAGCAAATTTTACGAAACGTCATCGTAGACTTATCATTCACAATTGTATCCTATAGATCTGTTTCTACGATATTCTTTCAATATCTCAGTTAAACGACTGCACATGTAAACGTATGTACCTTTTTATTCCACTTATCGATCTGTGCAATGTTCAACTCGATTAATAATTCATGATTCGAACGTTAGTGATAATAATACGAATCTGTTTAAGTTTTATCCAAAAATATTATGTATGCCCGTAGAAACTAGATAATGAAAATAGAATTGGATTTCAACGTGCGAAAATGCAACATAAAATTTAGGTCAAGGAACGAATCAATTTTTATCGTCGGGAAACTTTTAGAAAATGAAAGAGATATAAAATGTATATACATATTTATATCGCAAAATATCAAATATAAAATTTGATACCTGTAAACTGAAAAGCGCGATTTGATCTCGTTCTTTCTCCTAAATCTATTACCGGATTTTTTTAAAGCAGACTCACCGTGTGTCTGTTTTACACAGATTGACGCGCGGAAAGGGTGGTTCGGTGTTAGCGTTATTACATCCTGAAAAGTTATTTTGCTATGTTATTATTATCACACGGCAGCGTCTCGACGTCAAGTGCATAAAAATAGCGTCAGGCCGTATGCGACCATACTCACGCCATTATCTGTCGTCGAGCGCTACCTCTTTTCTGGAAATTTCGCACCTCGGATTTTGCTATTAAAATTTTTCAGAAAATAATATTATAGCGGGAAATCTAATGAAATTCTCTTTACAATTATATTTTTAATGGGTTAGTGGGTCAACTGCAATGTTATTACCATTTTTTTTTTTTTTTTTTTTTTTTTGTATTAGAAATGGTCCCCACATCGGCGGCGCGCGCGAACGTGACATTCGTTATCCTTTTATTTATTCTAATAATAAAATCGAATCCGTACGTTTGTTTTTTCAAAACAATATTAATTGAAAACAGCTTATCACTATTGTCGAAACCGTTAATATTTTTGTAAAATAATTAATCGAATAATTCTTAATCTGTTTCCATTTATTTGTTTATTTGAAATAACGTTATTTAAAAAAAAAAAATCATCAATTTTATCTGAATTTTAACACCAGACGCAACATCAATTCCACTCCATAGTTCTACAGCGGTAATAATATTTTTGAAAAAGTAATATTTTTAAAAATTAATCGAATTAACAATTAATTATTAAATATTTTCGTTTTGAAACGGCATCAGAAATATGATCGTACGAAGTACGGACAACTCGCTAGCTAGTTATTAATAAAACTTTTATTGATATTGATTTTTTCGTGTGTGCGCCACCCTGTTACATTATACATTTTAAAACACGCTCCGATTCGCTCAGCGCATCGAGACTGAAACATATAAAGTCGTTATTACGAATCACCATGTTACAGCCGCGCGAAAATGATCTCCACTCGGGATAATGGTAATGGGGACAGATGCGGAATACGGTTTTTTTTTTTTCCACTTTACGAATCGAGAATTAAACTCACCGAAATCGCGCAGCAGCTCCGAGCAAAATTCGTCGCGTGAACGTGACGCATTTGGATCTGTCGAGAATATTTGATGGGCGAACGCATTGTCCCGAGAGAGAAAGAGAAACAGGATGAGAGAATCGAGATCGCGTATATAGAAGGGGGTTGGGCTTTGCCTTTGCCAGCCATCGCCGATGTTGCGCATCGGTCGATACATCCAGCCAGCAACCGCCACTTGTATCTCAATTTCCGCTGAATTAGGGAGCTATCGATGCGGGACGATTTATCGCGTTGTTTACCGCCACGATCGCGACGGCGGCGATCGTCGCGAATTTCGCGAAATCCTCTTCGATTCCACCGCAAGATGAACGATCGTCCGTTCCGTGTGTGCGGAACTCGTTCTACAGACGCGACTTCTTTATCTCGCCGCGCCGCGCGAGCGTGTAGGTATTTTTCGAGCGTAGACCTTAGACATCGAGACGTTCCGGTTTCCGTCTGTACGTCTGCACGTCGACCGTGTATAATATATACGTAGCCTTCTAGCCGCCTCTCGAGTGAGGCTCCGACCTAGAGAGGTAGACGTGGGGAAATTGCGGAGAAAACTTGCTGGAGTAGGAGCGCACACCCGAGTCAAGGATACCTGAACGCGACTGCAACTTCGAGGGGGGAAAACTTTAACGTTTACCTTTCTCTCTGTAGCGTTTGGAAGTATATATACATATATATATATATATATATATA